CATCACACTACACTAAAGACGGGCATCACACTACACTAAAGACGGGCATCACACTACACTAAAGACGGGCATCACACTACACTAAAGACGGGCATCACACTACACTAAACAGGGGCATCACACTACACTAAACAGGGGCATCACACTACACTAAACAGGGGCATCACACTACACTAAACAGGGGCATCACACTACACTAAAGACGGGCATCACACTACACTAAAGACGGGCATCACACTACACTGAACAGAGGCATCACACTTAGGGTTGCAAAGGGCTGGAAAATTTCTGGAAATTTTCCTGAAACTTTCCGTTCCATGGGAAGTTAAGCTGGGGAATTTTGGAAATATTCCACATTAGAAACTTTCCATGGGAATTAACGGGAAAGTATGGGAATTAACAAGAATATTCCTAGAACTTTGCAACCCTAATCACACTACACTAAACAGGGGCATCACACTACACTGAACAGGGGCATCACACTACACTAAAGACGGGCATCACACTACACTGAACAGGGGCATCACACTACACTAAACAGGGGCATCACACTACACTAAATTCAAGCAGTGGCAGATCATGAGTTGCTTGTCCTTGTTGCAGTTTTACACATAAACCTATATAAGGTTGCTGTGAGAGATAAGCATTACAGAGAAGCTTCATTCAGCAGATGGTCTACAGCTGTATCCTTATGTCTGAATCCGTACATCCTCAATCTGTCTTCAAGCCAATCCTAGTATAATCACAGGAATAATACGATTCTTCCATGATCCTGTTTTCCTAAAAAAGACCACCTAATACTACTGATAAGGATAAACTATAACCCCTTGCTGTGCAAATGCCTCATTCTTGCTATAAAGCAAATGTTAATCAGTGCGTATTTATTCACTGAATGCTCTTAGTGTGAGAGGGACTTACAATTTCAGCAGGAGCTGAAGAAGACACATTACAATTCAAATACTAATTACAAAAGCCAGTTACATATTTACTTTTAAGGGCCACTACATGGGTGGCATGGCAGCTCAGCGTGTAACACTGGTGCTTCAGGTTAGGCGCTTAGATACTGCCACTGTTCTGTGTTGCTGTGGAGGTTATACCTTCTTCCTGCGTTGTGCGTAATTGCTCTGAGGATGCTAACCAAGGACCTGTGCATGTGTATGTCCTACAATGGGCTGCCACCCTGCCCATTGTGTTCCTCATGCTAGATTCAAGATTAAAGAAGTTTATTTGTCACGTATACAGTTGTACACATACAACATATAGTGAAATGTAACCTTGGTCACTCCAAGCAACTGTGCATAGGAGAATAATAAAATACATTAAAATAATATAAAATAAAAAATATACTAAATATATTCAGCTGTACATAATCTATATTGTGTAAAAGTGATTGAGCTGTGCAATATAAGCGCAACGTACAAGAGACATGAGAAATGTACCGACAATTTTGACAGTATGAAATTAATGAAAACAGTACTCATGGGATTATCAGCACTTGTACACAGTGTACACAGGAACATTTTAGATATTGACTGAGGTTGCCTGTGGTGGGACTAGAGATCCCCCCCCCCACAAGCCTGTACTACATCTGGAGATGAATGGGATGTATTTTATTATGAATATTAATAAATCAACAACCAAAAGGTCTAAAATGTGCCTAAAAACAAAATTGCAGCCACGACCCACAATAAGAATGGTTAAGCCAAAGTATATTGATTTCAGGTGTGACCATGCGCACAGGGGGACGGTGTAATCCTGCTGACCTGATTTTCACTTGAAGATTATTTATGAAAGAAATCCCTTATTTCTAAGCAGGAGGAATAAAATCATAATAATATGTTTGCAACACAGTCCCTCTAGGACTGGCATTCATGGTCCCGGGTGTCTTTATATTGCTGCATTTATATTGCTGTATCGGTAATTCCTCTTCAGTTTGGCAAGCTGCAAGAAAGACTTAAGTTCTAGGTTGATAAAAGGTAACAATTTTTGTTCAGACAAAGTATCTCCCTGTCCTTTATGAAAGGCACACTACAGCAAGGCACACTGTCACCATGGAAACTTAAAAATAACAAATAAATGCAGGTCTGAGTTCACATTACAAAATGTGAAAATTAGCTTGAATATCAAAAACAAGATGAAAAATCACCTACTAACTGTCATAGCAATTGAACAATGTAACATGGACATGTATTATTCATGTAATATACAGTATAAATAAAGCATACAGGTCGAACCTTTGGAGATACATGTAGTAAGAACCAAAATAGCATCAGGAAACTGATACCAATGTGGTCTGCTTGGGTGCGCACTATCCTTGGGGGACCAGGCACTCAGGATGTGAACAGTGAACAGGAAACAGAGCTTTACCGATTTCCTCTCTGCCTTGAGGTCCTGGACAAAGCGCGTCAGCTCAGAAATGATCTGTGAGGTGAGGTTCTCTGCTATGACCTCATGCTGCCCAGCGTAGTCATTCAGCTCATTCAGGGTCGTCAGAAAGGCCCGACATGACGAGTACCTGTAACAGGAACTGCATTGTTTCACTGGACATCTCCACATACAAAGGATGAACTTCAGCGAAAAAGATTCCTTCATATAATAATATCCAGTCCTACTGCTTTTGTTTTCTGTCATTTTTGGAATTTGCTGCAGGAAAACTGTTGGGTACTGAGCCACTGAATAATTTGGTGTTGGTAAAAATGAAGCCTTTTATTTATAAGATAACTGAATTCAGCACCACATTCACATGTATCCTGTGAATCAAATTTTCTTTAGCAAGAGACAAGCATAACTCACTTATTCTCTTCTTCTTCTTTGGAGTTTTTCTTGGGCTGATATTTCTTTGAAAGATTCCTGTAGAATAAAGGACACACGAGCATCAGGGGTGCTGCTAAGCTTGAAGCAGGAGAATGTAGGAAAGTGAGGACCTTTTATAAATCATGAATGTCCCATGAGAGCACACACATGACACTGAATGATTGACAAGTGCATGTATTTATGAGGGCATTCAACTGTGATGCACAAGGTTATTTTTGATGCCTTCTTAATGGTATGTTTATAGCAGTGGACATTGTTTTCACTCAGTGCAGACCATATTTTCTGCCTACGATCTGGCTTCATTTTTTTTTACAACATTCTTCAATGTAATCCAGCAGGAGAAGCTCCATAAACCACTTCATAGTACAGAATTAAAGGGAAAAAACACTTTCAATACTGCATCCTGAAGATAGGCCTGGAAAATATGATTCTACTAAAGCGAGCAGGATTTAGGAAAATGCAATCTGCTTAACCAGGGGAAATGCTAGCAAATACTACTGCATTTTTACATTTTAATTTCCACATGGAGACTTGCCAATAACAGGCCAATATGGCTATTTTTAGCAAATTCAGTATTTAGGATTAATTTAGAATAAAATATTGCAGGTGTCACTGTAATGGCATTAACATCATAGTAACCAGGGAAAGTCTCACTTAATTAAATCTCATAAGGTTTAATCTAGTCCAAAGGACCCAAAGGTATGTGTGAATCGGTCAACTCTTCATCTAAAAAAACTTAAATGGTGAAAAAACAGGCTTGGCAGAGAACACTCACAGTGATGTTGCTGACCTATTCTCACTTTGCATAATACAATACATTCATTATGTTTTATATAGACCAGCCAAGAGTTCATCCAACAGTACCTATCAGCATTTACCTGGCAACAGACAGAAATAAATTAGCCAATAAGACATTTGATAACAGGTGTTAAATTAACATTAAAGTTCTTGAGAAAATTCTCCCGACTGACATAATTATCACCCAATGCTTAGAGTAACAAAACTCTTCTGCACTTTGAAAGATATTGGACAGGAAAATATTTGTGAAGTAAATAAATGACCATAAATAAGGTTATTAATAATTTAGCTTTAGTCATCTCGCCATTCCAATTATACATACTGCGTATGTGTGTATGTGTGCGTGTGTGTGTGTATATATATATATATATATACAAACATATACATATACACGCACAAGCACACAAACACACACATATATGTATATGTATGTATGTACATATGTATGTATATACAGTACATATAGGTGTGGAAAAAATTAATATACCATTTTATATTTTTAAACAAATCTGCATTTTTAGATCCTGGTGTAGTTGCGGTTCTGCTGGCAGAGGCTACGCTGAGCAGCAGGATGCTTCCAGGTTCAAAATGTCTAAGACAGCAGGACACAAGAACAAGGTGAAGCAGGAGACACTGGGAAGGACCAGAAACCAGTCAGGTAAAGGGCGGAAGCGACATTCTAATGCCAGAGATGACCGTTAACTTATCTGACAGTTTGTCATGAATAGTAGGACGATATCAAGTGATCTTCAAAAGAAATGGGAAACATTAAGTGCAGGTGTGAAGATCACTGCTAGGACAGTTCATATCAGGCTCCTAAAGCAGAACTGAAGTTACAAAAATCAAGAAATAAGCCTTTGATTAATGAGAAACAGAGAAGAACCAGGCTGCAGTTTCCAAAAAAAATATGTATTACACTGACACACACCCATAAACTGAGAAATGAGTGAAACAAAACACTGTGCTGTGGTCTCTTAGTTTTTTCACTGGTGTATAAAGAGACACACATATATACAGATAAAAAATTCTTCAGTAGCTGTCATATTACATCTCTCTAGCTGCACTCTTGGAGTCTGCTCCGTTGCTAGGCAGATTATTCTCCTGGGGTGCCTGTCTATTTACAGCAGGATATCACAGTGGAGTTTAGCCAGGATTTAAGTGGCAAGGCACATTGATGGCTGGAATTAGCTGCCGATTAGTGAAATTAAGTGGCTACATTGTATGACTATTATTCCATGATATCTGATGACTGTAAGCGCTTCACTGCGAAACTCAGTCCAGATCTTATGGTCTAGAGGGCCAAGCAAGAAAACGTCAAAGGCATCTGGATTTTCTGATAAATAACTAACAATACTTTTTATGCATTTGGATAAAAGCATAGGTGTTTCAGTATTAATCAGACATAAATGAGTGTTTTCCCTTAATTATAATAATGTGTGAGTAGGGATGACAGTAAAGGAGAAATGCTGATAGATCACCACATTTTAATTTACTCGTGAAATGTATAAAAACGGCACAGTGTCAGCTGTGAACTGCACAACAGGGGCCCCATAATATTTATGGAAATAAGTAAGTGGGTAATCCTAATATTATGGCAGCTATTAATAATTATATTTCTGCAAATAAAAGCCTACAGAGAGCAAGGTAAATTGAAGTACAGCACACAGTTTTGAATAAGGAGAAATGAGACGACTCTCTGGAGGTCCAGAAAGAACTGGGGCTGGGTGAATATGGAGAAACGATGTGGCTGCAGGACACTTGTTGGTGGAGTTATACATGGTCAGGGTCACGACCGCCCCCCCCAGTCTGCCAGGAATCACCACTGTCTATTTACTCTTCCACTCCCCATCCCCCACCCTACACCATCCCATCTCTGGAGGCAGAACTGTAAAATATGGGTCAGGGCTGCCTGCAACGGTGGAACTGTGTTACCATGGCAACCCACTCTGCCAGGCTCATTTCCTGTGACGTCGGGCTGCTTTCGCCTCACAGTACCTGTGGGGTTTGTGTCCACCTGACCGCATTCGGCCTCTTCAGAAAGAAAGCTCATAGACACGGGCATACATTTTTGCCTGCTTTGCAAATTACAATAACTCTTTTTTGTTATATAAATATTATTATTCACTGTGTAAGGCATCCTAGATTACATTTGAGTTGCTTTGAATCTAAAGTATACCGGAATATTTTGTAATATGCTAAAAAACATGTACAATATTGTTGGGGGTACAACCAAAAACAAATATTGGGGGATACACCCCCCCTCCCCGATTCCGACATTGCTGAAGATCCTCTATGTCTTATTTTACAAGTATTTAATTAGTGATACTTTTCTGCTTCTACAAAATGAACACGGTGCAGATATAAATCCCCACGCAACCAGGTGGAAGCCAGGAAGCAGGGCATTGGGTATGTTTGCTTTCAGCTCTACTTTGTCAAACACTGACTAGCATGTGGCAGCAACTCTGCTATGTCATTTCGTCACGTGTCAGTAGCTGAAGGACAACAGTGTGAAAAATAAACAAGCAGAAACTTAGGGATATCCTAATGCAAACATGAAGCAATGAACTTCACAGGTACACTAGACACCTCTGCTACTACACTCAGCTTTATTCTTTGCAGGACTGTAACGGTTTTGTAAATAAAAGGAAACCACAAGAAACTTGCTGCACATCAATGAGCCACAGGAAGAGACCTGAGCAGATGGCAATGCTAAAGTCCTGGTATAAGTGAAGAGAAGCAAAGTAGAATCACTGGTTTTGAGCATGTGAGGCATAACTTTTGGTTACTTACCTAATCTGTTTTGCGTAATTAACTTCAATCTCAGATCTCTCCTTTACAAATTTGGTGTACCGCTCCACGAACTCAATTCCCCAGTGCGTGTGCTTTTCCAAGTTGTCGAACTGATCCTGTAAGACAATGGGGAAAAGACCAGTGTGAATGTGACTGGAGCAGCCTTGGATCTATTCAGATTGGCAGTTCCCGTGCCCATGACACAGCATGCATAACTCTGCAAACTGGAACTGGAACCATCCTAGTAAAATGCAATAATGCGGTTCTGTGACGCGGGCTGACATATTTATACCACACATTGTCTAAATGTTTCAGTTGTCTGGCACATTCTAAGCACAACTACTGAAGTCCTCCCTCATTTTGATACACTAGGCCCAAAATACATTAATGTCACCACTATCTTAACAAAAACAGATTTTTCAGCCATAAAACTAGCTCAAGTACACTAAAATTGATTATGTTAATTTCTTTACTAAAAGAGCAAAATTTTAAGTTAATTTCTTTTTTTTAAAAAATCATCCCTGTTGTTTTTGTTTCAGAACAATCTAACCTGGGGGGTGTTCCATGAAGCAAAAGGGATAAGGGATAAATTAACTTCATCTTCATTCACATACATTTAGCTCAGACTACCTTAAATCCAACAAGTTATCCAGCTAAGCAACATATACTGCTTTGTGGAATACCCCCCTGTAATTTGTATCACAAAGCCAGATTTCTTGCTTAGACAGATAACTAGATTAAGTAGATTTAAGGTACCTCAGTTTAAATTGACTATGTCTTCATTCAGTTACATTTAGACCACCTTAAATCTGACAAGTTATCCAGCTAAGTAAGAAATCGTGTTTTGCGATATAGGCCCCTGGAGTAATATTTTGATCACGGTGGTTTAGTGGGTAGCACTGTTGCTTCACACCTCTACAGCTGGGGGTTTAAGTCCCACTGCTGTTCTGTGGGTGTGGAGTTTGCATGATCTCCCTGTGCCACACAGGTTTTTCTCCTGCTGTGCAAAGATGCACAGTTAACTGGTGCCTGCTAATAACCCATAGTGTGTGAGTGTGAGCTCAGTGATGGACTGGCATCCCATCTTGGATGCTTTTTTCCCCTGTGGTACCTTGCATAGGCCGCTTTGGGCTGCCTGCAACCCTGACCTAGTGTAGGTAAACAACTGGAAGACAGATGTATGTTGTAATCAATTTGAAAAGATGCCACACCTGGGCTACAGTGACTAATTATGTTGCTTAATCCTGGAAAACAAGCACATCAGTGTAATATTTTTGGCATGTGTATTAATGCTGGCTGTTGGCAGTCTCATTTCATCATTACGTACTGTACTGTTTTTTAGCAACAGTGACTCAGAAATCTGTCTCAAATGGGTCACTAGTATGTCTGGCTGTGTATTTAACTAAATTTGATTAAATGTTCACAGAGTACAGTGATATAAAACAATCAGGGATATACATGGCAACATGACAGTAAAGAATTTGCTGACTGCATATCTTAATGTCTACAAACACTGATGATACTTTGTACAAGCACATTCTTTTTCGGAATGCCTTCTTTGTCACATGTCCCATCTTACTCTCCTACAAGAGTCACAAATATACAAGTCAGATTGAAGCTTGGGGTCAGAGCACAGGGTCAGCCATTTATCTAGCACTCTTAGTGCAGTTTTTGGGGTTAATAAAGGAAAAATTACTCTCCTGGAAACGGGATTCAAAATAGCAACCTAATGAATCTCTAATCCACAAGACAAACATAAATCTGGTGATATCACAAAGAAACATTATTTGAAAAGCAGTCATTTCTCTGTTCACAGTGCATGTATTACAAATCTATTTAAATATATAGACCCCCGGAGGTTTTGATTAAAATTGCCTAGAATTATTCAATATGAATTACTTCTACATTGTTAGAGTTTTCTTCATCTGTATTTCCATGAAGAAGATATTTATAGTTTATAGCCAAGTTTCATATTTGAAAGGGCTTATTAATAGGTCATATATACTGTTTGTGGCATAGAGTAAGGGGTCCCAACCTTCTGATGCCCACGGACAGTTGACATCTTACCGGCAGATCATTAGCTGATTTCACAAGTTTAACAGTTGCAGATGCAAACAGAATGTGAGGAGTCGTAAAATAATGAAAAAATATTTTTTTTTTCTAGGATATTTACCAACCCATACACAAAATACTGGCTATGGACTGGTACCGATCTGTGCACTAGCCCAGAGAAAACTCCATAAGCTATAACTAAAAAAAAAAATTGTAGGGAAGTGAGGAAAATTGGACTGCTCACTTCCCTTTGGGGGTCTCTGCCTGTCCCCCAGCAGTATGAGTCATGTACAGAGTTGTGGCTTCGCTGGAGTCCACATGAAGGCAACCAGCACATGACAACATCGATTGGTGACAAGACATCATAAGGAGAACTTCACTGCAGTTTCAAACCTTGAGGAAATCACATCAGATTTTTGCTGACAAGAATGAATAGCCTGCTTGTACAAAACGTGCTTTCAGCACGTGAACATCTCCTTATGTCACTGTTTACTCAAAAGATCCTTTATTAACATGCTTTTAGTTGCATTTGTAGTGATATGATCAGCAGTACAGTATGTATTTTATTAGTGGGTCGACCAAAGATGCTTCCGAATGAAGGCTAAATTAAGCGTAACTATAACATTTATGTCATAATTTTTATGCTACCTCTTACTAAATTACAGGTACAGTACTAACTGGAATGCCCTTTGACGATTTCCTGGCAATGATGACAGGAGTCAGTGTTGCACAGAACCCAGGAGCAGGGGGAGAGGAAATGAAGGAATAGCTGCTGCATCACTCACCCTGGGAAGCCTGCTTACTGTACATCACAGCAAACTACTTCAGAACCAAACACTGGGCTGAGCGCTGAAGCCCTTATTGATCCATCTGCCGGGATGATGGCTTGGCAAACACATTATGAATAGCATTCCAAATACAGTCCCAGTCACAGAGTGTCCATTCACTAGCTCCACTCAGGAGTTCTGTAGCAGTGACCCTCTTGGGGTTTGGAGCAGGACCCATTGGAGCTGATCCTCATCCCCTCTGTTGGGGATGCCCCTGACTAGACCTTGGGCTGGTCATCAGGCACCGTGGCATTCTGCATGATTCTCCACATCAGTCTGGTCAAAATATTATACTGTGACAGGTACGTAACTCCTTAAGGGTATAGTAACTTGGAATAGGCCATTTATTATAAGTATGTCTTCATTTTCAGCTAATTTTCACATCAGTTTTAGTCTATCGTAACGCACGGTTTCATGCCTGTCTTGATATCGCCTTTCTCTTTCAAATAAGACTATTTCAAATAGGGATGAAAATATGTCTGTTTTACCATATATTGCAATAGAGCCCCAGAGTGTCATATCTAAGACGATACAAATTAAATATTCTGATTTTCCATTTAGATCATATGATCATATTCCTAAAGCCTACCTCAATTTTTACTGCAGGATGTATCATTTAATAACGTTATTAGAGTCATAAACAGGGTAATATGGTGAACGGGTACCGGAAAACACTGTACCCAACTGGAAGGGCTGCTTCACTTACTGCACTGCAAGGAAAAAAAAACCCATAAAAACTTCTCTCCAGCCTCTTTGGTGTTACCCAAATCATTCCTTGCAGCACTGACTGCTGCAGAGCATCTACTACGTCCCAGATGGATGAGGATGTGCCCTCCACCTCAAACTTTGGACTATGCAACAGCAAGTGAAGTATTCAGAATACTGGCAGAGTACTGGTACTGTAGGTTAGACTGGAGATGTGTGAAGCTGAGTCTCCTCTAGTCCCCTAACAAGGGCTGCACGATATTGGGGGAAAAATAACACTGCAATATTTATTCTTTCTGCAATATATATTGCGATATTAGGATGTAAAAAAATCTAATTAGTTCAATATCTCTATTGGTATAATTAATCATTCTAGAAAGATTGAGCTGATTGTGCCCAAATATAATGGTAATGATAACTTAATCAGTACTAAACAGAGCATGAACATTAAACTAAGGAAGCTATATTAAACTAATCGCATATGGGAGTTAACATGAGTGACAAGATAGATCAATCACAACATTTTATTGTCCAATTAAACCTTTTTTATCACCACAGTGAACAAAACTTTAAATAAAATACTGTTATGCCCCGATCCTCTTGTGTGCCACGCCCCCTCATCTACCCTGTGTGGAATCCCCGTGTTTCCAGTCATGTTCATTGCTGTTGTGTATTGAAATCCGCATTAGAGTATATTTTCCCAGTCCGGTCATTAACGTCTTGACGTTGCTGTGTGTTTCCTGAGTATGTGATCCCTTAATAAATCCCTCGTTTACCCGACGCCCGTCGCCTGCTCCCATGCTCCGTGCTCCGCGTATGACAAGTACAGCTTAAAAATAAATATTCATTGCAACAAATAAAACTTGTGATAAATAATTATCATCAACAAAGGACCATTGTTTCACACACTTAAATGAACATTTTTACATCACCAAAGTAAAACTAAGAGAATGTTAGTGATTGGTGGTTTGTTCTGTGATTGACGTGTTTGGTAGCTGCGTGTCGGCTCCGTATCCGAAAACCTTTACATTGACCTAAATTATATTAGACAGACTTTTGTAGATTGTTTAAGAAGAAGAGTGACATTTGTTCATTTAGCAAAAACACCAAAAGTGCTTTCCACACCGCTTAATTTAATTTGCGTTACTTGACATCGCACGTCCTGCGATGTGACTATTGCATGTGCATACTGTACATCGCAATGGCGATGCCGAAACGATATATCGTGCAGCCCTACCCCTAACCTATACTGTAACCGGGATGACCTTGCTGGAACAATGAAAGAGGACTACATAACACAGAGCATGTATAAAAAGCAGGCCAGTGCTTTTAATCTCAATGGAGTTTCCCAAAACACAAGGGCCATATATATTCTCTTGACCCTAACCCTAACCCTCTTTTCTTTTAAGGTAGGGGAGAAGAAATGGAATCAAACTCTGTTTAATAATGATGGTCAGCCCTGCCCAGGACCAAACCTCAGCCAGCCAGTTCTCTGTCCCCATATGGGAGAGGTCCATCCCTGTCTACGAATCAGTCACAGCAAATCTTCTTAATGCATTTGGTTAATTAGAACAACTTAGTCCCTGTCCCATCAAGAGACTCATCAGCCTAGAAAAAGTAATCCAGCCAAAACCCAAACCATAACCCTCCCAACCACTGTCCCCCCCCATATAATATGGACGTTTACCCTGCTTCCCATTCGCAGCATGTCTTCCTGTTTTTCGGGCTGGGGTGGCCCCCTTGCTGTGTTGTCGCTGCCTGAGCCGGGATCTGCGATTTCGCGGAGCCGCCTGGGGTGCAGAGGATGGGGGCGGTCCCTTGGGACGTCACCCTCGTGAAAACTGCGCCCGACCGGCCTGGCCCCGCTCAAAGCCCCGACAGGCACGGGGCTGACAGCAAGACGGCTAGCAGCTCTAGGGCACCGCTGTTCACTGTCCCCAACCCCCCAGCCCCCAGCCCCATAGCTGCCCCCACAAAGCCATGCGAAGGGAGCCATTCCCAACCCATTAAAGGCACAGACACCTATTATGCCCTGGGGACAAAAGTAAATACGCTGTGCTATTTATATCGCTGTCATCATCTCGCATTCTTACCCGTCCCTTTTAAAGTCAGCTAATACTGAGTGATGCTACTGTTCCCAGCTGTACAAGGCTTTAATTTCTCAGCAGCTGTTGCTTTGAAAAAGAACAAGCCCAGCTTCCATTCAGCAATAAGAAAAAAAAGAATGAATTATTAAAATTCTGAAAAGCTTGGTAAATAGCCTGTGCTTCAGGGTAAAACATCCAGCATCCCATGATAAGAACTGGAGGTCAGCTGACATAAGCGTTTAATTTTCTGCAAACTGAAACTTTACTCATGTTAGCAAAGCTATTGCTCACTGATGCACTTCATCACATAGGAACAGTAACTGAACCAATAAACGGGAGTGTGACAAACACACCCGACATACATGTGATAAGCCTGAGGATAAAGCTAATTAATAAATAAATATATATATATATAGTGCACCCACTGCTGAAATGTGGGACAGTATGAAAATTAAACACACAGAATGTGTGGGACAAATGACAAAATGGCTTTGGCAATTCCCATTTAAAATCCCCCTAACTGACACCCTCATAGTCAATTATAATAAGAAAGTGAAAGTGCTGCTACGTGGTTTTTGATCTTATTCTTTCAGGTGTGAGTATATTCAGTCAGCATAAAACATTACAGCACTCCCTTTATAATGGGGTCATAATGACTGTAAGTGGGGAAGCATGATGGCTATTTTGTCATTGTCGTAATGCCATTTACCGCACAGTTCATATCTAGCTCAGGATGGGGACATTAGCAGTCTTTGTGCTCACCACACCACTGCTACCAACAGACAGGCAATAGTTGATGGCCAAGCGATTAGCTGCATATTACCCTGGACACTGTGGTCACTGGAGTCTCCAAACTAGAAATTAATTCAGCACCAGAGAATAAAAGCATGTCTCATCCAGTGCCTGGCATAGGGACTCAGGAGAAGATGCAGAGGTGCTGGATGTGGTCACAGCCAGGATGTCAACGTTGCCCCATTTCTACATTCACGACATCAGTTTCATCAGCATGTCCCCTCATTGAATAGTCACATCTGTCAGAGGTGAAATATTGTTCACTTTACTCATATTTGTTATGTATTATACAATAAAAAATGTACAAGCTACAAATTACTGCAGTTTGACACAGCAGTGTTAAGTGGAGATTTATGACACTGGCAAATAGTGTTTCCCAATCTGACAGCTGCTTTGTTAGGACATTTTGGCCCTGAACACAGACGAAGACATGCAAACTCTTGCAAAGTCCAGATGAAAAAAGACTGATGTCACACTAAAGAAAGAGAAGATGTGCCCTGCTTTGGTACTGTTTTGTGAAATGCAATCACAAACGTCACCATGGCAACACTGTTAGTTTCAAACTCTTAAAGCACCAAGGTCTTCTGCAACATGAGTCCGCCAGATGTCCGTATTTCTCCACCCCAGTGTGACACCAGGAAACACTGGTCAGAGGAAAGAAAAACACAACCACTTCATCAACATCCCTAGCCCTCCATCCCCTTCCTTTATCGTCTGCCTGACACTGCAGCCTCCTCCCTCTGTGTTATCACTCTGGTCTGTGAGAGCTAAGTGAGCCGAATCATTCTGAGCCAGGCATAGCCCTGCTGAGAGTGTTTCCCGATGTTTTTCATTCTAGACAACGTGCTTGTTTCTGGGTTGCCCTTGGCTCAATCACAACACGCACTTGAGATATGCTGTCTCTGTCCAGAGACAGTCCAGAGCACCAGGCAAATCATAGTGCAGCATAAGCTGTGTATTTAACTGAAATGTCTCCACATTCAGCTATAATAGCTGAATGACCCCAATACACTTAAAGACATGTGCCAAGTCACAAAAACAACTGCCCGATATCATTGTGGAAATTATTTTTTGGGTGCAAGCAACCAATTTTTCCAGGGTGACACCAGATTATTCACAGAACACATGGAATCAGGAGGAAACTGGCAAATGTAGGCAAATGTACACAGACATTCGTGGGATTCTCTGTATCTCAAATGATTTACTGCCACTGCACTCAATACAAAAAAATGTAACTCCTTCATATAAACAGTATATCCCAATGATGCATGACTAGAAGACACAGAGAACATCAAGTGTGAGATTCAGGCTGTAAAAGGGAAACCCAGAAATGATAAAAGCAAAGAGAAAGCAAGTTACCTGCACCGTCGCAGGCTGCCTCACAGGGTCATCACAAGCCCATCTGTCAGTTTTCTTTCACAACAGTCGCACATACGACATACTTAAAAAAACACCCCGACTGCAAAAACTGGGTCATGCACTTCTTCACAAACACACCTTCATAATATTGGCCGATAGGCAGCAGAGGGGCTGAGCAACATTGCTGTCATAAAATACCATGAGCAGGAGTTCAGGGAAGGACCAACATCCTGCTGCCTAGCAAGAAAAAGCTCTGAAATACTAAGACCATTCCTAGTCACATCAACCGATTAAGCATTAACCAGCATTTCTGATGTATGTAAAGAAGCCCAGTCTATGACGAAAGGGTGGTCCCATTGGGTTAACATCTTCATGGCATGAAGTGCAAATCAAAAGGTGAATTTACATCTGTGAATGCTTAGATGCAATTCTGCATTTCAGGGAGTCCATCCTGAGATCATGTTTTCTGAAATGAAAAAAGTTAAAAACACTAAAGGATTTCCTCATTTGCAGCATGCAATAGGGACCACTACTCTTCTCTTCCATTCATAATGGAGCCCTCAGACTAATCACGGCCAACTCATTTAAGCTTCTTAAACGATGCGATAATAATCAAATACAACAAGATACACTTTCACATCTCATTTGAACATGGCATCATATTTCTTCAATCTTTTTTATATTTATCCAGACAGGAAACAATTTCCCGTTTTTAAAGATCATGCAACTTTGGCACATTAATCACAAATTGAGTGTTTGAACTCCCTGACCTTTGGGTGTCAATAACAGTAGGTCAGGCACTGTTTGCTGAAAGAATAGTGATCTCAGGCATGTGCAGGGTTAGGGTTCAGTGATGAGTCTTATAGAGTGAGGAAAAGTGGTGTCTGATTGGAAGTTTCAGTCTTTAGTTATTGGCAAAATAAGATTAACATCACTTCCAGCAGAAACATATGTTCAAGAACCACTGAACGAGCAGACTGATTAGTGCTATGTTTACAGTGTGTTCATTCATCTGTGAAGTACAGCTTATATGTGTGGTACATGTTCTAAAAACAAATTATTATTTATTTATTTTTTTACTATATTTAGGTTTAATTGATGATTTAACAAAAGCAATTTATTGAATTAATCATTCACTGATGCAGCTGGATATTGACTCATGAATTGCAGATTAAATAAAAAAACTCAATAGAAAGTCCTTTAATGGAACCTAGAATCCTTTGGTACAAAAGACTGAACCACTTTTTCATGCAAACACTCAAGGTACTGTGGTGTGGTATACTATAATGGTATTATAATGGTATGACCTCTGAAGGGGAGAAAAGGTACTTTTCTCTTTGGTTAAAATTTCCCAGGACTGTGGAAGTTTTGAAACTTACCCTAAAAACAGCACTCAATAAAATGAATCATGTTTAGCGTTGTGCTGCAATGACATTCATGACAAACATTAGAAGACTGGGGGAATCCAGCGTGGTGGGGCTGCATCTAAAGGCTTCTCTTCAAACCACAGGCTGCCTGCTTGTCTTTTGCCACAGGCGGAATGAAGCAGCTAAACCTCAAATGCTATTGTGGACCTTCCAGCCCATACACCTTTGAGGGTAGCAAGTTTATAAATAAAGCCTCTCTGGCATGTGGGAGGAATGAGTGCTGGCCTGCTCCGTTTGCCGCATGCTCAAAGTGTCTCAGACAGGGTCCAGGGCCAAAAGGTCATGGAGATCAAAGCAGACACATACGTCGCTGTCCCATGGTCCCAGAGGGGCTCCCCATTTGGTCCCCATTTTAACTCTTTTGCTCTCAACCAAAAACCTTAACAGGTAGACCCCATTTTAACACAACTTTCATTTAAAAGTTTCCTGCACACGAGAAGTTTTAACTTGTTAACTCTTGGGAGTATATTATAAACACAGATCTGCAGTCGATATTTGCCTCAGTGAAACACTGAGCAAACAAGCACAGTTTCCCTTTGCCTGCTTTAACATACTGAGAGCAGAGCTCTGGAAACCACATTCCAAACAACACACGGATTTACAAAACAGGTATCAACACATCTCACAGGCATCTAATTTATATTGGGTCCTCATAATTTTAAGAACTGTAAGTCTTCCTCTGCCTTTAAAATAACAACAGAATGCCTCCTTGACGATAGCAAGCTTGCAGTCAATATTCTGACAATGCTATCTATATTCATCAGTTCTCAACCATGTAACTGTGTGACTGGATTTATGACTATGGGATATTTTTGAATGAAAAGCTGATATGACCATGACCATGACCTTTATAGGAATTAGGAAATTGAAAGTGCGCCTGTGCTTTGATCATGGTCTTGTAAAACGTCAGTTAGCAAACACCTAAAGGCATTATAAAAAGCATGGGTCCACCTGCTTCGGAATGTTTCTGATGTCAAGTCTGGGCATCTCAGAGTCGGATGGTTTTCCTTGCTTATTTTACTGCTATAATGTCACTAAGGAAAAAGAATAAAGTCTCAAGTGTCCCAAAGTACAGCACAAGACACCCAAGCCTAACAAGGTCGTGAGGCACAGTCCGAAACCCTGAGCAAAAAACACATTACAAAACGTTTCTCCAGCTGGTAGAGGGAAGGATAAGGACTCAGAAGTACGCGTATGACATGAAGCTTACTGGTTCAAATCTCAGAAGATTTCTAACTGTTAAACCATTGTGTAAGATATCTAACCTTCATTGTACTTGTAAAAAAAAAAACCCAAAGGGATTAAAATTCTAAATTGCTCTGGACTGCAAT